ACATAAGTAAATTGTCTGATGTTATAATGTGTGGGCTTTTAATTAACTTAACTGAGAGTTGCGCGAAACATAAACAAGAAATTCAATTACAATAATAGTGAACACAATTCACACGACAAACACAGTTTGTGAACAAAACAATTTTTGTAATTCATTCAAATTCTTACATAATTTGAAGAAACATATTAACACAACAAATCCTTTTCAAATTATAGCGAAATTTCATTATGTGGTACACATGTACTGTATATCAGAATTTCGTAACAGATATATTATATAATATTGTTTTTCTTTGCGCCCATTAATGAAATATATTTACATTTTATCATAAAAATATTCACTAACAGAATATTCTGGTTTCGCGTAAATAACTGTTTAAATTGCTTTGATATTAAAATAAAACTGCTATAAAACGTAAAAATTGTTTTCAACAGCGATAGATATTTGGATAATTTATTATCTAATAGTTTTTGAGTGCACTTTTAGAATGAAAATAAAATTTTTATTTCAAACTTTTAATTTTCTTTAAAATATTAATCAAAATTTTCTGTATATATATTGTAAAATATAAGCTTGTTAAATATTTATTGAATTAAAAACAAAATAAAATTCATTTAATTTATTTGAAATTCAAAGTGCACGTTATAATATATTTAAAATAATTAGCATGCCATTAAATTATTGTGAAATATTTTTTATTTATTTTATACTTTATTCTCCATAGCAATATCAGTAGGTGTGAGTGCGTGGACACTGGTAGCCATATCGTTGGAAAGGTATTTCGCAATCTGTCAGCCCCTGAAGTCTCGTCAGTGGCAGACATTGTCGCACTCGTATCGTGTGATTGCCATCATATGGTTCAGCAATATTGTACTCATGAGTCCCATCGCCATACTATCAGAACTGTTGCCCATTCAGACACCAGGTATGCTCTACCATATATACCCTAACCTGTAATACATCAGTAATGAGCTAGGTAATACTGTTAAAATATACCTCGGCATATACATATTTGTTATGCAATAAGCATCTTAAAGTAAATTTATTTTATAGTAGTAAATTTATTTAAATTTGTAGTACAGTATACTGTATCAGAATTGTTTAAGAATCCATTCACTAATATAAATGTAAAACAAAATTTTAAATACAATAAAATGTTAACAGTTAAACCATGTATACAAATAATCAGATCAATTTACTTACAAATTGAACATTTTATAAAATAGCTTTGTTCACTAAGCAAGCAGGTATTACAATACGTTAAACAAAATTTCAGTGTTTTTTAAAAACTATTATAAATGCAAATAATTTACGTATCAATAGATTTTAAATCACAATGACAAAGGTGTTTACAATATTTGTGACATACAATGCGTAAAGCTAAGTTAATACAATGCTAATTTAATTAAATATTTATACTCCATTTCCCATTGAATAACATAATTCTATATATTTACGTATACGTTAGGCAAATACAAGTGCCGAGAGGTGTGGCCGTCCGGTGCTAGTGAACAGCTATTCAACATACTGCTACTCATACTGCTATTGATCGGGCCGTTTGTCATACTGGTCAGCACCTATACCCTGGTCAGCCGTGAACTGTACGGGGCTAACATATTTCAAGCGCATTGCGCGACCAATAACCACATGAATAATAGTGGCCATAATGTGTTCGCACATACCATACCGCCTGAGGTGGTCGTCAATAATACCACTACTACTAGCACTATAGGTGCTGATGACTATCGGGACGACAGCACGTACGCCGACGTGGAGACCACCACTTCATTAAACTGTCGCTCAATAAGTGTCTCATATGACTGCAAAAGTGGTTTCATCAATGGTTTGGTCACTACCAGTGCCACCACTAATAGGAAGCTATTGATTGACACCGATTGCCATAAAAACGTGGTTCGCGTCAAGAAATTGCGATTGGGGTTTGTATGCCCAGGTTTTATTGCTTTTAGTTATTGGTGTTTATGTGTGATATATTTCTAACTAGTAACCAGTGTATTATTAATAATTATTTGAATTTATTTAGTTATATAAATTTTTATCGTCTATTTGACTACCAAGTAAATGTGTTTGGAGACTAAATAATTTAGTTGTCAAAATTATGTTGGAAATTTTTTTAACAAAATATACACTCTAAATGTAAATTACTTTTTCTATATTTTAATTCTCATTTTGTGTCAATCAATTATTTAAATTAAACTAATTATCTAAAGAATATTTTTATTTTTGGATACATAATGTATATCTCTGTGCTGCAAACCAAAGGACACTTTCAAATCTATTCATAATGTAAGCAAAAACTAATGTAGAGAACGTGTACTCATAGCAACCTAATGCAAAAAAGTTGCTTCAAATGCTTTAAAGTCATAGCGTAAGCAGAGTTGAAAGTGTTCTTTGGTTTGCAGCACAGAGATATAATAATAATTGATAAAAACAGTATGTTGCAAAGATTGATTTGTTAAATTTTTGGTATTAAGAAATTAACTTCTTAAGTTTATTTTTATTAATAATTTTATATAAAATACCATTTTTTCATAAACGATGAGTTATTTGAAATGGTTTAACTTATTATTATTTTAACTTCAAAATAAAATGCATCTTTACCGATATTTGCAAATTTACTAAAAACACAAAAAAAAGTGATTTTAATATAAATTATGTAGATTTTATTTTATGACAGCAATCATTGGGATAACATTATCATACAGAATTTATACCATTTTATCAAATAACTTATTTTGCAATTAAATAAAATACTTCATTTTAAATAAAAATTCCAATATTTAATTTTATTTAAAAATCTAAACTTTTAAATCTTATTTGAAAAGATAATTATTTATTAATTTGGAGTTAATGGGAAATTATGTTATTTTTCGCGATTATCCATTAATTTGCATTTGCAATATGCATTAATTATTTAATACAGTATATTTAATAATTTTAAATAGAAAGAATAATGATTATCAGATTAAAAATTCATAGTAATTCTATAGAATGCATTCAGAATATTCTGTATATGAATAAAAAATAAATTTTATTATAATATTTCTCTAAATCTTTTTAAATAATAATGAACTGATTCATAAACATAATTGTGAATTATAATACATTGAAGTTTTTAAACCTTGTAATGTTATGCTAATTATAAATTGTTTTTATATTTTCATAAATAATTACATAATTACAAAGGTTTTTATAAAAAGTTTTGGTTTATAAAAAAACCTAAATATACATTAAGTTTGTGATTAATACAATATAACAGGATATTATTTTAAAAAACACTGTAATAACTTATAAAAAGTTTTATTAACGAGTGGGCCATTCAACAAATGCAAATGTGGGTCTTGTGTGTGTTGTCTACTAAAATGTCAGTTATTTTAAACATTTAGTAAATAATTAAATATAATTAAATATGATATGAAATAACTCTTTAGACTTAGTGATGAGTTAATGGTATTTATTAGATAATAATAGAGATAATTATTAGATAATAATTAGATATTAGATAATAATTAAATATAATATAAGAGTTATTTATGCGTTCACTACTCTAGTGTATTGTGCATGAAATATATTCATGTATTCAATTTTAATGAAATGATTATTTTTAATAAGGGATTGAATTGTGATTGTTTTGCACAGAAATTCTCGTCGTGTGTCCACACAATTGATTAGCAAAAAGCGTATCATAAGAATGCTATGCGTTTTGGTGTTGGAGTTCTTCATATGCTGGACACCAGTCTATGTCATCAACATATGGGCCCTGTATTGGCCCAAACAGGTAGCTATTTATTTAACTCATAATATATTACATTGT